CCAAACACCACCACAGACATACTAACCTTCTACCAGACAGACAAAGCAACCTTCTACATCAGACACACCAACCTTCTACCAGACATCACACACACACACCAACATCCTAGCAGTTAAACCAACCTTCCACTAGAAACCAGATACACCAGCCTTCAACAAACACTGATACATCAACTTGGTTACACCAAACGTCCATGAGACAACACCAATACACCAACGTTTCACCAGACACCACAGATACACCATCATACTAGCAGACACCACACAGGTACACAAGCCTTCAACCAGACACCACAGATACACCATCATACTAGCAGACCCCACACAGGTGCACAAGCCTTCAACCAGACACCACAGATCCACCATCATACTAGCAGACACCACACAGGTGCACCAGCCTTCAACCAGACCCCACAGATACACCATCATACTAGCAGACCCCACACAGGTGCACAAGCCTTCAACCAGACACCACAGATCCACCATCATACTAGCAGACACCACACAGGTGCACCAGCCTTCAACCAGACCCCACAGATACACCATCATACTAGCAGACCCCACACAGGTGCACAAGCCTTCAACCAGACACCACAGATCCACCATCATACTAGCAGACACCACACAGGTGCACCAGCCTTCAACCAGACCCCACAGATACACCATCATACTAGCAGACCCCACACAGGTGCACAAGCCTTCAACCAGACACCACAGATCCACCATCATACTAGCAGACACCACACAGGTGCACCAGCCTTCAACCAGACCCCACAGATACACCATCATACTAGCAGACCCCACACAGGTGCACAAGCCTTCAACCAGACACCACAGATCCACCATCATACTAGCAGACACCACACAGGTGCACCAGCCTTCAACCAGACCCCACAGATACACCATCATACTAGCAGACCCCACACAGGTGCACAAGCCTTCAACCAGACACCACAGATACCCCATCATACTAGCAGACACCACACAGGTACACAAGCCTTCAACCAGACACCACAGATTCACCATCCTTTATAGCAGACATCAAACAGTTACACCCACCTTCTACCGGAGACACACCAACATACCACCGGACACACAGATACACCATCAACCTTCCACCAGTCACCACAGGGATAAAATAACCTTACACCAGACTTATACCCCAACTTTCCACCAGAAACCACACAGTTACACCAACATACTATCAGACACTACGAAGATACACAAACCTTCCACTTGATATTAAATAGATACACTATCACACTACCAGACACCATAGATACACAAATCTTCCACAACACACCGCATATACCCCAACCTCCCACCAGACCCCACAGATACACCAAACTTGTACCTGACAGCACATAAAGCAACCAGATACACCAATCTTCCACAACACACCACAGGTACACGAACACTGCACCTGACAACACATAGGTACACCAACTTTCTAACAGACACCATAGATAGATACACTAGCTTTCAACCAGACACTTCACAGATACCAACTTTCTACCAAATACCACCACAGATATACCTACAACAACAATCCAGGTACACCAACCTGTCACGTGACACTGCACAGACACACCAACACACAACCTCATATCACAGACACACCAATATAGTACAAGACATCACAGATATAGCAATCTTCACAAGTCACCACCGACAGACCAACACACTATGAGGCACGACAGATACCCCAACTTTCACCCAAACCTACACAGATACACCCACCCTCCACCACCACAGAAACACCAACCTTCAATCAACACCATAGAAAAACCTTCTACCTGATATCACAGATACACCATCCTTTCCACCAGACACCACACAGACACATCAACATACTACTAGACACCACAGACACACCAACCTTCCATTTGACAACACAGGTACTCCAAACTTCCAACAGATATCACATGATACACCAACATAATACCAGACACCACAGCTACACCAGCATACCACCAGACACTAGATCTACCAACCTTCAGCAGACACCACACAGGTACACCAACCTCTCATGAGACACGACCTAGTTACCCCGATGTTTTGGAATTCTCCACACCCACCCTGTTTGAAACATCTTTGGAATACATGGCTAGAATGATGTGAAGGGCCATCATGGGTGTGGTGTAACCGGAGATCACAGAACTTGGCAGAGCTGAATACATGATGTTTGGGCTAAACTTGAAGAGTACATCTTGACCAAAATAAAAGAATTGTGATGAATACTGCTGAGTCTGAATCATGCATCTGTAAACATAGCATTTTATTGACAAAATGTTTACACCTCTCTTGACACCAATAGTGATGGAGCATGCCATACTCTATAAAAGCATACAACAGAAGTTGAGCTGAAGAGACACCATCCCAAAGCGTGCCAGATTTACCACCTGCAAACAGAAGCACACCAAAGAAAAATCTTACAACAAAAAGCAAAACATGTTTTCTTTTTCCAGCATTTACAAACAAAATCAGACTCCATACAGTTTACATAGACTTAGGTCCAGCCCAAGGTCAGACTGCAAAAATGGTCATCAAACACCCATACAGGCCTGGCAAACCCTCATCCCAGTATTGTGTACCAGGTAACCAGGCAGTACAGCATGGTAAAGCCACGGCTTTCAGTTCAGGCTGTTGAGAGTGTTACCAGGCTTGGGAAAGCAGGAACAACTCGTTTTTTTCATACAGACGCTACTAAAACAAGGCACAGGGTGCTTACTCCTTGTGCTGGGTCTTGACAAGGGATGGCACTCTCAGAAACAAAAAGGATTGCTGGTACAAGGGCTTAGGTTTTCTTTTCTGTCTAGGGTTTGGACTTCTAAACTCTTCAACTAGTGCTCTCCTCCAAACTTCGTGGAGGTCTGATACTTCAGCCCACCATCCTATCGGCTGTGACAGGTCACATTATGTCACTCAGTTGTGTTAGCCTTGTGGGTTCATGCTCCCTGATGCCCTTCTGGAAGTCCTGGGGGCTCTTTACTCCACAGGGAAGGGCATGTCATGTATGCTGAGGTGGCTGGGGCAGGGTGACTGAGGGAGAGCCCACAGAAAATGAGAGTAAGGCAAGAATTTGTTGTCAATCATATAGAAGGCAGGCCGTAATTTCTGAAGGTCAGAGCTGTGATTGATGACGGTGTGAGTGACTCATGATGTAAAATGATGGAAAGACTGAGTGGGATATTAAAAAAAAAAAAAAAAGATCCTTCCCAGGGCAATAAAGCTCTGTCTACAGAACACAACAAATGGTTTAAAAATAGAGCCACGATAAGCTGCTCTGATACCCCACCAAGTTGACTGGTCCCTCTGACATCATGGGTGTGGTCCAAACAGAAAGTTTCAGGCTCCATGTAGTAACTTCACACAGGGATGGGAGGGGAAAAGTTCCAGCCTCACTTCATAGCTTCCTCAAGGGGTAAAATGGGCAATTCAAGTACAAATGCCAAGTGTTGATGATGGCCAAACAATGTAAAGTTTAGTTCTCAATACAAACAGGATTTTGGGTTGGGTCTGGCAGTGGTCTGGAGCCGGAGAGCATGGGGTAGACTCCAGCCTGGCTCAACAAGTGACTGAGCCCCTGCTCCATGGAATGGTTGGTGAAGCACACACCTGGGCTTTAGATGCCGTGGGGCCTCCAGGACAGTGTAAGCTCTGTTAAAGATGGTTCCTCCAATGGACTGCAGCAAACAACCTGTCTCTCAACTCTGAAAAGCTCCTGAATCAAGAAGTGGCACGAGGAGCCCAGCAGGCTGTTTGTACTGTGCAATTAAGGAGGACATTAAACCCCATGCTAGAAAACTGTCAATTAAAGAAGGCTCTTAAAAAAGCCATTGCTGTCTTAGGACTCCCTGTTAAGTGGCAGACAGAGCCTGGCACTCAAGTCCTACTCAGGGTTTACTTGTTGTAATTATGCAACATTCTGATGAGGCACTGGGCACCAGAAAACGAACTCACAGCAAATTAAAACATTTTTTTCTGCCAAGTTTTTTTAGACATTATGGTTTTAATCTCACCATCTACTATTTATATATTCCAATCTTGCCATCTAAAATGTTCAACATAATGAAAGATATCGATGGAAGGTCTGAGATTTTTTTTTTTTATTAAACTTCTGAATCCTTTTGTTTTGAAGCCAAAAATATTCTAGCACATCTCTAATTGATTACCCTCTGAGAGGAAAGAACACAGATATTAGTTATTTCTGATGGTACAGACCATCAAATTAAACTTGATCTATGCTGGTGGAAGTCCTAGCTCCAGAGAGTAAATCACTCCTTCGTGCTCTGAGCTCCCTGAAGGACGAGCTGAGAAATACGGCGATTCCAAGCTCTGTTCATTTGCCCTTCTCAGCATGCCTAATGAACTTCATCTGTGTGGGTCCCTCACTCATCACCTTCTGAGATGTCGAAGGAAGGCTCCTGAGAAGGGCAATACCCTTCTAATATTTTTTAGAGTTTCATTTGCACATAAAACAGGACAAATGCCCTGGAATTCCATTAACATTTCTCGCAAATCAGATAATCGAATTGCCTGGTTTTCTATTCCTGGAAGTCGAGACAAGCCTCTCTGCCGTCACAGGAAATTCACTGAGGTCATTCTTCTGAGTCTCAGGCTAAATCCTACCTGACTCTCCTTTTCTGAAACTTCAGTGTTCTGCTTATCTCCTAGATAATTGGCTGCTCAGGGTATTTTAAATGATGACATTTATTGGTGTGTGTGTGTGTGTGTGTGTGTGTGTGTGTGTGTGTGTGTATGTGGTGTGTGTGATCTCTGTGTGTATGTGTGTGTGTTTGTGAGTGTGTGTATGTGTGTGAGTTTGTGTGTGTGTGAGTGTGTGTATGTGTGTTTGTGAGTTGTGTGTGTGAGTGTGTGTATGTGGTGTGCGTGGTCTGTGTGTCTGTGTGTGTGTGTGAGTGTGTCTGTGGTGTGTGTATATGTGTGTGTGTGAGTGTGAGTGTGTGTGTCTGTGAGTGTGTGTCTGTGTGTGTGTGTGAGTGTGTGTCTGTGTGTGTGTGTGTGGTGGGACGACAAGTGGAGATCAGAGGACAACTTGTGGAATTCTCTTCCCACTATGTGAGTCCCATTGATTGAACTTGTGTCGGCAGCCTTGGCAGCGAGTGTCTCTACAAAGAGATCTCACCAACCCAATTAAAAAAAAAATCATTCATGGGCTATCTTAAACCATCACCTTTTATCATTGAAGCTCCGCCCTCTCCCAACGGAAGGCACAGTTAACAGGTTGAATCTTGTAGATCCCATTTCTTCCTTAAAAATGGATGAAATCAAATAATTAACCAGAGTTGTGCTGCTTGTCCCTTCAAAACAAATTTAAATAAGGACTTGCAAGGGATTCCATGAGCTAACTCCCCACTGTCATTCTGCACTCATCAGAACCAGCCTGAAGAGCTGAGGCTGAAGAGCCAGGTACAAACCGTCTGTCTGGCTGCCATGTTCTGAGGCAGGATTGGAGGTGAGGGCAGAGCTCAGGGCTCCCAGCTACCTCTCCTCGGGAAGACTGTCTCCTGACCCCTGTAGGGTCTTGCAGACACATGGGTGTCCAAGGGCCAGTTACAGAGATCACAGTGTGAGGGCTTACGTGGCACAAAGTCTCTGTGGGTCCCGAAACAGTGAGTGAGGAATACAGAGCTGGACCCCATCAGCCTTCTTTGCAATAGAAAAGGCAGTGAGCCATTGCCTTTTGGGATGTGGAGGCTGCTGTGCTGGTATGCAGGGTACTCCAAATGACTGCCCCCCATTCAAATATGATACCTTTCAATTACAGCACCAGGCCCTTTGGTTTGGTAGGCTCTTGGGTGCCAGGTGCCAGGACACCCTCAGCTGTGTCTCTTAAAACATTTAGAAAGCCCCCAAACCCACTCTCTGACAAGGAACTTACAGACATGTTCTAAAATTAAATGTGGGTCACTGCCACCCCCCGCCTCTCATATGTCATGCAATTAAAAATCCAGAGAGACTCAACAAGGACACTGGCCTCTTGAAGTAGCCTTGTCCCTCAGAAGAAGATCTTGATCCTCTGACCTGGGTAGGCGTCCAAGAACAGGAGCACAGTGACAAGAGGCGGGCACTTCAAATATCACCATGAATGGGGAACAAGGGCCCAGGTTATTTTTAAAGGAATAAATCTCCCCGCTGCCATGTACAGCGTGTGTCTTGGCTGCAGCTGACAAGCAGGCAATGGCATTTCACTGGGAACCAGAAGGGCTTGCGGTAGGTATTTCTCTCCAATCACTTCTCACAGAGTTTACAGTGAAGGACACTTAATCAGACTCTCACTTTATGTTCTTTTAATCACCAAATGATAGTTAATTAGTTACCACAGAATCAGAAAAACACTTATGCAAAAGAAGAGATCGAGAGACCAGTGGTTCCTAGGATTGGACACCTGCAAGGAGCTTATTTCAATTTCTCTGAAAGAAATCAATACACACTGGCAGTTAATTAAAGATCTTTTCCTTCTCTTCAGTCTTCAAAGGTTTTTAAAATGGCCCTGCATCATAGGGAACCACAGATTTTTATGGAGGGGCTGGGTCTTAATGCCTTTGGAGTCTGGCTATTTCTCTTAAGAAACAACCAGGAGAGGAGGAAATGTGTGTTAGACTTCTATTTAATCTAAAATGTGGTCAAAATAAAGCGCTACGTCTGAGTATATTTTAATATGCATTTTATGAGAAGAGATGCTCACTGAGCATCAAGTGTGGGCCCACCTGAGTCTGTCGTCATGAAGTAGTACATGACACCCCAACCTGGGGAGCCCCGGGATTCCATGGACAGACTGGTGACAGGGAGGGCATGAAAGACAGGAACACAGGGCTCACGCTGTTCATCCTATTGGTAACACTGATGTCAGAGAGAGTGAGCCTCGCTTTAGGCTGTGCCATCTCGGCTGCCCCTCCCTCAAAACTCTCCATTCTAAGTATGCAGAGGAGGGGCACAAAGTGGTAACAATTGTTTTTGAAAAGTTTTGACTGTTCAGTTAAGGACAGCTCTGAAAACACAATTTGGTTTGAAATTCAAGCTGTTTCATTTCCTATTTAATCTTGTAAATTTCCTTCCGTTACAATACTCGGGCTGGAAGGGTGCCAAATTAGGCCAGAAACAAATCTCCAGCAGTTTCACTTGGGGGCTTTATTTTTAGATTATATTAAGAACCTCATTAGGTTCCTTAGGGAAAAGAGTGCAAAGCACTAGCGGAGGCAGGAGGAAACAAAGGAGGGCGAGGTGAGCCGGCTGTCAGCAAGCAAAGCACCCAACACAGTTGCTCTGAGCTCGCCACTGCAAGGCCAGGTAGTGACTGATGGGCGGTGTAGGGCTCTCTCTCTCTCACTCACTCACTGGCCCCAGGCTAGGAAGGACTGACCAGGCTTGTTAGGGAGGCACAAGTCTTTGTTACCATCTCCAGGTGGGAGGCAGAGGGGCAAGGGAGGAAGACGGAAGCTGTGAGCTAAGTGCTCCATGCCTTTGCACAAGGTGAATGCACTTCCACACCTCCTGTGACCAACTGGAAAGTCGGCGGGCACACATGAAGACGGGGCACAGGGCTAAATGGAGTACTAAACAGAACTCAGAAGTTATTAATGTATTTACATAATTTATAATTTTTAAGCAATGGTCTCATAAATATAGACTACAAATTTACATATGCTAGGCAGAGCACATTTTTCCCCCCACCAAAATACCTGGGCCAAAAAACCAAAATAACATTTTCTTTGTTCTTTCCCTCTTCTTTTTAAACCACTGCTCCTCATCAGTTTAGACACACCATCACCTGGACCTCGAGAGCTTATTTAGAAAGGTAATGATAAAACTAAGGTGTGGGTGACACATACAGGGTCATCAGAAGTATGCGAACAAGGGGAACCAGGTGGCTGCCACCTCGGTGTTCATTTACTGTGCATCAAAGTGCTTTAGAGATGGTGGGGACTGTCCCGGGGACACCCATTCCTCCGCTAGTGATCACTTTCCACATCTTAAAGGATTCGACGCTGACACCAGGGACAAGGGTCAAGGAGATGACCATCTCCACAGCCTTTTCCCTTCCGATCCACAAAAGTGCTCATTTCCCTTTACAGATGATACATGGCATCCTGATTACAAAAGTACCAGCAACTCCATCCTACCATCCACACATCAGATGCTAGGTCAACAGCCAGTGATGTGGTCCCTCTCCACGCCAGAGTCTGCACCAGAGGTCTGCAGAGGAGACGCCTGCTGCAGTCTTCTCAGAGAGCCCAGCAGCCAGCTCCTCTGAGTCCTTTTTGCATGAAGAAGACTCCAGGGCATGATGCAGCTGCCAGAGGCAAGGACTGGCCCTCCTGCAACACCCAGGACCACCTGCTTCTTCATCAGTGTGGGGCCCTGGGTCGTCAGCAGCAGCTTCGCTTTGGCTCCGATGGCTGTCTTCGGAGTTTGAAGCCCTTGCCGCCAGACGGCGGGTTGGCATCCGTGGATGGAATTCTTCGGCCTGCACCAAAGGGAGAGGAGAGGAAGCATAGCTTTGATTTCCTAATCTGTTCCTTCTCAGACACAATTTTGGCAATGCCACATAACAGTTTCATTGAGGTAAGACAAGGGAGATGACTAAGATGACAGGGACAAGGTGTGTCTGTTCACTCTGACCCAGCATCACCTAATGCTGACCCCAAAGCACACCTGCCACAGTGAAGACCACAACACTGCCATGGTACCACAAGTCACCAGTCTTTCAGACGTCACCAGTTCTTGAACTAACACACTCCTATTCTAGGACCCAAAGGATGCCAAACAACATTTAGTAAACCTTTAAATACAAAAATTAGACTAAAAATGTTTTCTCTTGAGCCAGTAAACACATGCACATTTAGGGGAAAAAAAAACCCCCAAAAAACAAAACAACCAACATGCTTGGTTCCATGTCCCATGGCAGGGGCCATCACAGGCATGGGGATACTCCCAGATTGTTCCTAGCTCTTTTGCCCTTCAGGGTGGTTCCTCACAGTACACAGTGGGCTGCTGCTGCTCTCAATAGCTGAACATGTGCACTGTCTCCTCGACTAACCATTCCTCTACGGGTGGGCATCAATCCTCAGTACTTGAGTGTTGTGAGCAACTGTGTGTGGGGGAGTAAAGCACTGGAGGAGAGGAGCCAGGGCCCTGTTCTACTCCTGGGCATTCATCTGATACAAGCACCAAATTCCCAGTGACTACTTATTGCAATTTAACTTTTGACAGATGCTGCCAAGTTGCTCTCTGAAGAGGCTGTGGCATTTTATCTCCAATGACAACGTAGGGGAGGGACAGGCTTCACTTTACTGCTCTTCAGTCACCGTCCACCCACCCGGCTGATATGGCTTAAGGCAGTATGCTGCTTGTACAAAGGCTTTCCTGCCTTCTCCTTCTGTGCTATCGCAACCCTCACATGCCACAAAGCACCGGGACACCAGCAACATGCTGGCCTTCTTTTCTGTGTGACTGGCACCCTCGTATACTGGACTGAGCCCTCCAGTCTTGCCTGTTTCCCTCTGTGGCACTCCCAGATCTCTGTGGCACAGCACCTGGCTTTAGAGAAAGGCTTTCAGTCTGTCTGTTTAAAGAGGGAAGGAATTACTGCACAGGGAAATGTGACATTAGCAAGACTGAGAGAAAATCCCACAACCCTTTGGGTGTGGCTGCAAAGTCTTGAGGGATCCCCACTGTGGGTGGTAACCTGTGTAGACAGTGCACAGTATGACTTCTACAGGGACAGAAAGTGCTCTACAACTTTCCAAATGTGTTGCGACACTGCTGTGAATAAATCACAAATGTAGTTAAGCCTCTCGAAGGTTCTTGTCATTATGGTTTTCTCAACAGAGGGAAACTGAAATACAGCTGGTACCACAGAGGCAACTGTGAAATGTGACAAAAGACTTTCAAATGTGACAAAAGTGTTTTAGAAGAAAGCAGGAGACAGTTTGATGGTCTGGGCATGGTCAATGGTGTCTTAAGCAGGAACTCTGCTGACCATAAAGGAGAGTAAGGACAAAGTGAATTCAGATAAGGCTAGGAAGCTCAGTCCATTGAGGGACTGATTCAGAAATCAAAGTCAAAGCAAAAGGGAAGGTATTTCTAACACACATCAAGCTGGGACTGAAGTCCAGAGTAAAGTACAAGTCGTTAGAAGGGGGAGGGTGACTCCGCAGAAGGTAGGCAAGGAAGGGATTAAGGACTGAAGAAGAGGACGCCAGCTACTGTCCAGGTGGAAACCTATATGCGGCAGGCGCTCAGCTTCAAGGCAGACATGGAGATGCAGGTCCTGCCTCTCCCACAGGCTGACAGGGAAGACATCTTGCACAGCGCTGCTTCGGGCAGCAGCTGGCACAACTGCCACTTTGCAAACTGGCAGTGAAGTCACAGTGAACACATGCAAACCTAATGATCCAGCAATTTTTCTCTTGGGCACAAAGATACTGAGCAAAAATGCATCCAGATGTTCCCCAGAGGACATAGGATGTTCAACAGAGCAGCCTGCAATTGCCCTAAGTTAGAAACAACTGCCCAATGTCTGTCAACAACAGAAGGTACAATTACACTGTAAACAGTCCCTATTTCTTCCTTTCCCAACTCTGAGTTCTGACACTAGCACACACTAGCCACAGGAATGCATCTTTTGCAGGTGTCTGTCATGTGCAGACAATTTAAACATGCAGTTAGTATAGAACAGAAGCTAGAAAACGAAGGGTAAACAGGGATGGCAATGTGGCCGGAAGAGTGACTGCCTAGCATATGTGAAGCACTGGGTCAATGCTGAGCACTCAACAGCAGGCATGGTGGTGCGGGTGTACTCTAGGAGTCAGGAGGGAGAGTCAGGAGGCCGTCAAAGTCACCCTCATCCTCAATCACAGTGAGGCCAGGTTGGGCTATAGAAGATGGGGACGGTGGGCAGCAATGGAGGAAATGTGCTGGCATAGCCTTTAATCCTAGCATGTGGGACACAGAAGCAGGCCATCTCTTTGAGTTCAAGGCCAGCCTGGTCTACAAATGGAGTTCCAGGACAGCCTGGGCTACGTGGTGAGATCCTGACTCAAAAACATAAACCAAAAACTAAAATAAAACATGGGAAACAAAACCAACTGGATTGGGTCTTAGGCTGGGTCACCCTTAGGGTGGGAGCAGCTGTGCTTCTCTGGGTGTCAAGCCAAGGGTTTGCTCTTTCTGAGACAACACTCACTGAGAAAAAGCTAAAGATGATCTCTCTGTCTGGTTTCCATCTCTGTGGCCATGTTCAATTCTTCTCAGTTGCGAGTGTGTACTATGTCTTTGCCTCTTTCTCTTTGCAGTTCTGGCAACTCAACTGAGCATGTCAGGGAAGACAGCACCACAGGGTTACACCCTGCTTGTGTAAGCTTTGGTGTAAGGATTTGTGGGTCACAAAGCCTACTACTTTTCATTTTTAAAATTGCTATAGGACATAAAAAGAACCCACAACAAAAACAAGAATCATTCCAGCATGTGACACACTATGAACCTGGCTACCTGTTAGTTATGAGTACCATGTCTCTACTCTTGAAATGAAGAAAGATGCCTGAATGTGCCACTGGCTGTGATGTTGCCAACAGCTCTGAAAAGGTTTAAATTAGTGTTCAAATTAGAACAATGGAACACGTACATAAAAATCCAGATCTCTGAGCCATCTAAGCTATGGCAGACTAGATGTGTGGACTCATACGTGTAAAGTGTAGCACTTTGGAGGCTGAGGCAGGGGACTGCTGTGAGTTCAAGCCTGAGCTATGGAATGAGACTCTGAGACCCTGACTCGAAAAGGAAACACAAAGAACAAAGCATGCCGATTCTCTAGAACCCAGAGTGACCCCAACTGCTGCTATGGGCCACCCTCAGGGGACTGCACGTGTGCTCCCTTGGGGCAGTCCCTGTCTGGCTCTGGAGGGTCCTGCCATGCAAGATTCTCACCTTCACTAAGGCCAAGAGCTCTTCTAGCTTGCAGCTACTGTGGATTTCAATCTGAGGGCAGTTAGTGGGCAAATGCACTGTGCTTGGGTAGCTGCTCCCTCCATTTGGGAGCCGGCTGTGCTCTGTAAAAGAAAGTCGGCCCACTGCCTCAGAGAGACCTTTACCAGGTCTCAGCTTCCAACTGTCTTCCCCAAAGGGGCTTTCTTGGACGCTCTGCACACATGCTTACATCCATCTCATTGCTTTCTTCCTATCTCTTATTATTGTGTGAAATGATCCTATTTATCTGGAGTTCACTACCTGACTAACTCAACGGAACATAATACTCCAGGGGAGCAAGGGCTGTGTCTATCTTCTTTAGGCTGGTTCCCTTGAGTCTGGAACAGTTCCCAATAAATATTTTGATGAAACTGAATGAAATGAATAAACACAGAAGCAATCTGCAAAGAATCCCAAAGGCATGAAGCAGCTCCTCTCACCTACCATCAACATTCTAACCCTCCGAAGGAAGAGAAGGGGGAGAGGTCTGATCTTCCTTGCCAAGGACGATGTTCTGGGTTTTCTTACAGACAGAGCACACCCACATTTCATTTCCCTTGAGTTGTTGTGTTCTTTTTTCTTCTAGAAATCTTGAGTATTTTTAACCCTGTATATGCTGTCTGTGTAAAGGTGTGCGCACCCGAGTGCAGTTGCATTCAGAGGCCAGAAGCATTGGGTCTCCCTGGAGCTGGAGTCTCTCCATCTTTCTAGGCTCATGTGCTCATCACTCACTGATGGCCTTGGAGGAATGACTGAGTCACAATCAGCAGAGCAGATGGTAGCTTCGACACTGAGAGGCATTTTTTCTGGAAAGGTGGCTCACTACTAAGCAACACCTCTCTAGAAACCCCACTCTGACAGAGACACTGGCTGTCCTCAACAGCTCAAATCTCCTTTTGTGGGTGGACACAGTCTCAGAAAGAAAACTGTTTGTGTTTGCCCTTAATGGAGGAAACCCCAGAGATGCAGATACTTACTAATTTCTATAAACAGTTCATTTATGTTTATCGCATTTTTTGCGCTGGTCTCTACAAAGATGGCATGAATGGAATCGGCGTAGTCCTTAGCATCTCTCTCCATGACTTCTCTGGAAGGCAACAATTGCTAATCAGAGGTTCTGCCCCTTGAAACCTTCCCCTCACCCCACCCTACACAGCAGAACAGTATCTGGATCAGCTGTGGCATGAGTCCAGACAGTCTTTCTCATTACACGACCTTCACAACAAGATTTTCTCCAATCCCTATATTAAACAAACAACCCCCTTCCAAAACAAAACAAAACAAAACAAAACAAAACAAAACAAGGTCTTTGCTCTGAGAATCAGATGTGGTACACTGAAACTGTCAATAAGATGCACTTTTTGTATTCAGTTACTCTGTGTCATAGCAGCCTGAGAGGCACTGATCTCAGATAATGTCATATGTGACACCACCAACGTTTGAGTAAATTACACGCCTGTCTACAAGTAATATAATTAACTCCAAATGCTTTTAGTCTTCATTTTAGCTTGAAACTTTAGGGCCAACCACATAACACAAGGAATTTTTCAATGTCAGAGATAAAATAAAAGCTAGACTCTTACCATGGGTATGGTTCATTAGAAAAAGAACCTGTAATCGGCATGGGAATCTCTTGTCTAATAACTCACCTGACATCAGTGAGATCGCATTTGTTCCCTGCAATGGCAACAACAATGCTAGGGGGGCCATGCTGTCGGAGTTCTCTCACCCAGTTCTTCAATGTTGAAAATGTCTCCTGCAACACAGAAGGAGAGCAGCTGCAGGCCTGAGCAACAGACAATGGTGTCAAAGAAGAAATGAATAAAGTCTTACTTCTTTTGTGATGTCATAAACGATGATGGCCGCTGCTGACCCTCGATAGTACATCGGTGCCAATGCACGGAACTGCAGAGGGAAGAAGCAATGAAGCTGGGACAGCCAGTTAAGGATGTCCTCTTAGCAGACTTGGAAGTCCATTATCCCTGCACAAAAGGTAATCTTTCTCTGAAGCCACAGAAGATGACATAATGGTCTACAGCAAATGAACCTGTGACTACTAACGGCAGAGGTAGTACTGGAATGTCCTGGAAGACAGTCTAGAAAACAGCTTTACAGGAATGGAATATGGGGCTACAAACAATTGTTTCAGCTAAGAACTCAAGATTCTGATTCCCAAATTCATTAGTTCAATTGTCCTTTAAACTTTGGCTTCCCAAACTAAGGAGACAAAAACACTGCTAACTGTAGCCAGAGGGGTCAAGGACACTATGGGAAGGCTCACCCAATCAACTAATCTAGGATCACAGGGGCTCACAGAGACTGACTGGACAACCAGGGAGCCCGCATGGGACTGACTCAGGCCCTCTGCATATACGTTATAGCTGTGTAGCTTGGTCCTCTTGTGGGGCTCCTAACAGTGGGAACAGGGGCTGATTCTGACTCTTTTGCTGGCTTTTGGAACCCTACTCCTCAAACTGGGTCACTTGCCCAGCCTTAAAACATGGGAGGTGTTTAGTCTTACTGCAACTTGATATTGATACTCATGGGACACCTGCCCTTTCCTGGATGGAGACGGAAGAGGAGTGGATTGGGGGTGGGTAGGAGTGGGGTAGGAGGTAAGGGCTGGGAGGGGATTGTGAGGATTGGGGGGGGGAGTCTGCAGCTGGGATGTAAAATAGGTGAATTAAAACAAACAAAAGCCACTGCTGTAAACAGTTCTCGACATGAATGCACACTTCACTACCCAAATGAGTCTGCAACTTGCTTTTCTGACATCTGCATGATAGTCTCACTGTAAGCACAGTTTCTGCCTCCTCCCACCACATACAAGACAGGGACTTATGGAGAGGACTATCCGATCAACATTTCTTTGGAGGAGTGTGGGATAGAAAATGTGGCGCTCTTTCCTCACTCAAATCTGGGTCTTGGGCAAATGTTCCAGTGTGGCTTTCCCCTATCAAGTATCATGCCTTCATCTTATACCTGGACTCTGAAGCCTGGTCCCCAAGAGTGATGCAACATTCCTGTACTGTATCCTGCTCACTTTGTGGTGGTTGGTTGGCAGGCATTATTCTCAGAGGGCACTGGGTATACTTGCAGAACACATACAATATGCCTGTGTCTCCTGAATGTCTCTGAGTTCATGGTCATCGTTCTGGTAAGGTAGTGACGTTAGAACTGTGACCCCCACGAGGGAAGATATCATGACTGCTAGAGCCTGGCATGGACCTCATGCACTAGAGGGTAACCCAGAGCTACAAGCTGGCAGGCTTCAGTCCTTTCTGCACCACACCCCACCATTTAAAATGTAGGACTGACTTGAACAGTATAAGAGATTGAGACAGTGGGATGCAGGTGGAACGAAGACCATGACCCCAGCTGCCTCCATTACTATGGATGTGTTTGTGATGGCAACACCTTTTAGAGGGTCATTTCTTTCTCTACAGTTTTGTAATGGGAAAGTCCCACCAAGAAAAGCAGATTGCAAGTCTACAATGTGAAAGCCAACAAATGTAAATCCTCATGTAAATGCTCAGCACAAAGACAAAGCATTTCTGTCAACACAGATAATCCCTGAGGCCTCTAACCTTGGTAACACTTGCCCTCAAGTCCATCTGCAGATGGACTATAACCACAGTGTTGTTTTACCTTTTGCTTATAATCTGCACAGAATATACTTTTCCAGCCTCTCATTTCCTCTCCTCTGGGCATAGGTGTGCATACTTTTTTAAGCACCACAGCTGAGGTCTGTCACCTGGCAGTTCTGCCTACCACCTCTGCCTGCTCAGTGGGGTGCTTGGTCCTTTTACATCTAAGAACATGCTGTGTTTGGACACAGGTCTAGGGCTTTGTTGCAAATTCGTTCAAATTTTTAAAAATACCCACTCCTCCTTCCTTACTCTCTCCACAGTGACTAAGTTTTAGTATCCTTTAGTGGTCTCGAATTCATGATGTAGCCAAGGACGACCTTAACTGCTGATACTTCCCTCAGGGATTATAGGGGGTGAGCCATCGCTCCTGGCTTATGTAGTGCTGGGGACCAAACTCTAGGCTTAGTGTGCCCAGCCCCCGCCCCCACCTCTTAGTCTTTTAGGTGTACCTTTCCGCATTACTTATTAGATGGTTGTTCTTGCAACTATAAGTTTTTTTTCTAATCACTTCTAATGTAAATGTATGCTTCCTATAAAACATCTAACCTTCCTATTAGAACCTTGTATGAATCTAACCCCGTTTCTTTCACCATTCTTTGGCTGCTGCTGCTCAATGCTTTTAGCGCACACACTAATTGTTGAATACAGTAACTAGTTGCCTGCAAGTTGAGAAGAAGAAAAATGATGCTCTTCGCCCTCTATCACCTGCAGTGCTCATTATTTCTTTCTGTTGGCTCTGAGGGGCTACTCTGTGGCTGCTACTGCTGAACTCTCTGCTCTCACTTTCTCTAAGACTACTTTGATTTTGCGTCTGGAAGATGCTCTTGGCAGACTGACTTGTTTGTATGCCCACAGCATGCTAAAGGTTTTGTCTTATCAGCTTGCCTGCACTGCTTCTGTGAGAAGTAGACCCCCACCCATATTGTTCTCTGGTATACAACATATCTCTGGCCATTTGAGTGTTTTCTCTTTATCGTCACTTTTGGCAGTTTGACTAGGGTCCTTGTTGTACTTAAAGGTTTGCTGAAGCCCTTAGATTTGAGAGTTGGTACCTCACTAAACACTGTAAGAGTTCAGCCATCAATTTCAGAAACACTGTCTTTAACCTGCACCCCATCCCCTCCCCGTTCTCCTGGGTACCAGGCTCTACCTGGCTCAGCTGACCACGTCTCTATGCTGTTGAGACTCTCAGACTTTGCTGGCCTCGCATCCCTTGGTCCCCAAGGGATGTGTTCTACCGTCCAGCCACCCTTTCTTCTCAGCACTGTGGCATTCCCATCACATTCCTCATCAGCTTCCTCTCCCACCTGCAGTCAGTCTGCCACTTTCTGAGCTTTTAGACACACTTAAGGGCACACCTCAAACTCTGGCTGTAGATTCCTGTCACAGGGCAGGCCCCCTCCTCGTTTCTCCACACGTGACAATTAGGATGGTACACTGGCCATGTCTTCTGCACTGCACTGCCGTTCTGAAATCATCTTCACACTGATTTTGTGAACTGTTAGGTTGGCTCTATGTGGGCTGGATCTGAAACCCTGGACACTGTCTCTCTTCTGAGTGAGTTTCTCTCTGATGAGCCTTTCCCTCCTGTTGACTGCTATTGGGTTTTGCGACGGCCCCTCTGCACATTCACTTAAGCTCGAGGGGGGCTTCTAAACAGACTTTCGGGTCCTCCTTTCTGGGGCATCCCAGGGCTCTTTCCAGGGCTCACTGCTCTTGCCCAGTGTTCTAGAACTCTCAGACACTTTTTGCTATCATAATCTTAAAACGGCATTTTCTGCGTGACTCCTGGCTACTCTGCGCCACACTCTTAGGAGTTAACTGGGCATGGCTGTGAGGCCTGGACCACGCCCGTGCCATGCTGCTTCAACTGCGGTCACTGGTTTAGCCGCACTTTCAAAAAGCTACTTTGAAAAGTCTTATCCACCATTTAGGAGCCAGGCTGGCCACTCTGAAGTTCCCCATACTGCTTTGGTGAAGAAAGAAGATGGACACAGATAAGGAAGGAGAGTCCAAAGGTGTCATCACACCTTTACCCCACATCTGGCTCTGGGTCAGGGGACAGCAAAGGTCCCCTGCTGAGGACCAGACAAGAAACAGCTTTAGCTCTGTGACCCTCTGATTTGTCTCACAATTTTCCACCAGGGTTACTCTATTTTTCCACCAGGGTTACTGTAGAGTAAACGCACAGACAAAATGAACAGATAAGCACGCCTGTGTTCCAATAAAACTGAATTTACAGGAGTAGGTGGCTGGTTCAACATGGCCCATGGTTTCCAATTCCCAGTTCTGGATGCTCCTAAGCTATCCTTGTCCCAAATGAAGCGCTGACAACAACGGCTTCTGTGAATACTGTGAGAACTGTGCTGCATGCTGTCTGACCACCGAGGAACAGGAGGCCAGAACAAGCTCAGGAAACAAGGGTTGCAAACATGGCTGTTAAGAGATGTGGCCGGGAAGCTGTCTAGACTGTCACATATTTGGACAGCACTGGGGACGCTGCCCTGCACTTACAGTGTACTTAGAATATACACTCATGGGAGCCATCTGTGTACACGCTGGGCCATCTTGGCTCATCCCAGAAGTCTTTGTGAAGGGTTAAGTGGGACAAATGGTGACAAAATGAGCTCACTCAAATTGTAAACAGTGGACAAAGGACTCACAAATGCTCAGTCTTAAAACAAATATAATCATGAAAACAATTTTCATTTAATCTGGCATTTGAGAAACCTCAGACTTATGATTATAGCCAAGCACTGATTTTTAGAGAAGTCTGAGTCAGTGAGGAGACAGCCTGGCGAACTGCTTCTGCTAGCAATGTACGAGAGCACAACATGGGACCTTTCATTTCACAGTGGACTCTCATGGGCTCACAGAAACACTCGCTTTGAAGAAACATCTGAGGGCTGCAGTTGGCTTCCCTAGGTGCTTCTTAACCCTTTGATGCACACACAAACCACTGTCTTCTCAGCACTTCTTTCTTTTCAGGGTTAACAAGCTCCCCCAGTCAAGGGCTCACACACCATTCAATTTTTAGGTGCTTTCATCAACTTAGTGAAATCACTCTGCCATTGTTGGAAACTTGTCAGAACTACATGAGGCAACAGATGTGAGGGTCAAACAGAGAGGACGTTTGTTCAGTTCATCAAAAAGCCTCTTCATTCTGCAAAGGTCTTGGGTCTCCACCAGGAATCTCAATCCTACAGGAAGCTAAGCAACACACACGCTAACATCAGAAACCTCTCCGTGGAGTCATGCACTGCCCACAGCAGGCACAGAGATCTGTCCTCATCTGTCAGAAGGTGGCTACCAACCAGCTGATGTATGTACTAACACAATGCCAGATGCCAAGGGCTGGAGCACACACCAAGGCAGTCCCTGCTTCTCAAAGAGGTCACAGTCTAAATGGAAGACAGAAAAGTAAGAAAATAGGTGACAATTCCATGGCTGAGGGCAAGCAAAGACTGTTCGGGATAGAGTTCATTTGCTGCCACCCAAATAACCCCTGGGCATTAGTTTGCCTTTGGGTATTGTGCCAGCACTGGGACTACAGCAGTAAGCAAGACACTGCAGGCCGAGCTCCCGACATTTACATCTTGGTGGAAGAGGCTGTCAATAAAGGCAGACAGACGAGCAGACATTACAACTTGCAACGAGTGTCTTGAAGATGAATACTGACAATGACGGAGAATGAACCACAGACCCTGCTCAGGTACAGAGAGAAAGGGGAACTCTGAGGAATGGCATGTAGCCTGAGGCCAAAAGCTGGTAATATGCCTCTGAGTGACTGAGCAGACATGTACTAGTGAGAAGTGCCAGTATCTGTGAAAGCCTAATGGAGGTATGTGTGAGGACCTGCTTGGAGGCCTGCACACAGGGAGAGGAGGGGAACAGGACACAGGACAGAGGCAGAGGTGAGTGAGGGTCGGCATGAAGACAGCAGTGTCTGATCAATGTTCCCCACAGCGTCTGAGTTCCCTGAGTGGTGATGGCTCAGGACTGAAGGGAGGGAAACACAGAGAGCAGTCAAAAGGCTGCACAATGCTTGAATGACAGTGAAGGCAGCTGAAGCCAGCAGAGTGGAGGGCTGAAGAACTGAATGGCCAACAGCTGTCAGAAGAGTACAAGAAGAATCCCCATCTGAATATAAGAAGCACTGCTCGCTGTAAGGCAACAGGGGTGGTTAGGTCAGCTCCTTTCAGGCAGCAGAGGTAGGCTCCAAAGGCTGGGCAGTTGTTGGGCCAAAGATGGGAAGACAGAAAAGAGAATCTAGAGTAATTTCCTGCTCCAGAGCAGACTGGTAGGAAGAGGTGGAGCACAGTGCAGCTATGGCGACCAACAGGACTGCGAAGATCTAGCCTGGGATGAATGGGCATATCCTTGAATGAACCCTGAAATCTGGAGCCTGGGTATGTCCTTCTGCACAATGACTGGCCACACCCAGAATTCCCTTCCTGATTCTGTTCCTGCTGCAGGATCTCCTGTTCAAGTGCTCTGTCCCTGGCCCATCCTTTCAGCATATCCTGCCCAGCTCTGGGCTGCAAGATGGTGCTTGAGACAATGAAGGTCAGACTGAACCACAGAGCAGCACTATCTGCCAAAGAACCAATGGGAAGTGAGCAAGTAAAAGGCAGGCAAAGCAGAGAGTCACAGTCCTCAGGCTCCCGTGGCCACCTGAGTAGAGGGGAGGTTCATGCCTAGGCATTCATTGCACTTTGATGGCGTAAAAGTCACCATGACAATGGAGCCTGCATAGCAGCATGTGAACATCACACAAGTCTGAGTGGGTAATGAGACATGGGATCCAAGAGAAGGGCACATCTTCCTCTACTAGGGAAAGTCCATGTGCTCGGCTAACATAACAGCACAGCCCCAGGGCAGTGTCTAGATACATCTAGTAGGACTCAGGGAAGCAGCGCTACTGCAGGTGGGAAGGTTACAAAGGGTACCACTGTCCTAACTCCCCATTCTAGATGCACACAGCCCACCAACACAGAAGGGTGGTAGCTCTTGTAAGTGATGCACAGCATTAAAAACTGAAGGCAGCAAAGGGCCAGGCTGAGGCATGACCTCTGCTAAAATGTACGGTGCCTCCAACTGGGACCCTAGTTAGTGTTCTTTCATCTGCCTGGCACAATTCCTGTCAGGTTCTATGCCACACACAGTACCTATGTGGTTTTAGATAAGAGTGTGATGACAAGCCCTTTTTCCTGATTACTTCTGCAATACCTTGAAGAGCTTAGGACAGTGTCACGCATCTGTCAGGTGCTCTGTTTGGATAGACTCATTTGAAGACAAAATTAAACTGCAGCTGAATAATGGTGTGACTGTTGCAGGCACCTCACCAGGGAAATTGGACTTAGTGCCCAGAATGGAATGAGACCGAGGGTGCGCTTCTGTTTCTGCTCCCCGTCCCTTGTCTATTCCTGCCCTGCCCCCACCCTCAGTCCCCACCTTACTGTGCTGTGGACAGGCTCCCTGAAAGGCATTTAAGAGCCTGTCGCCAGGCACTGCATTAGCTAATCTGTCCACTTAAACCTAAAGTTTATATGCTGTAAAGTTCCTTCTGTAGCTTTTAAAAGGCAGCTATAAATGAGCTGTGCTTAATTCTCCCTTTCTACCACTAATTCTTTCACAGCTTTACTAGAGGACAGAGCCCCAAATCACAGCCTCTGCTCAAAGAACTTTACCAGGCCTGTTAGTCAGCATTTACTTTAAGACACTCAAAAGTCTAAAAACGCCCTCTGTGCCCATTAGCGCTTTCCCCATCAGTGGGCTTTGTGGCTCTAATTGAAAAGAAAAAGGCTGGCCCACGCAAATGCAAGGGAATGTGTCTCTGGTGCAAGGAAGTGAGGAACGGCAGGCAGCAGGGACACTGACAGTTTAGTTGGGGCTGTAATTTGGTTTGGGCCTCAGAAAAACATAGTAAATTAAAGAGTGACTTACTCGTTCTTGTCCAGCTGTATCCCAGATTAGGAATTTATGGAGCTCATTTTGGTACTGGACAGTCTTGGTCATAAAAGATGCCCTATAAAGAGAGACCTAAATGATCAGAACACAGTTATTTAACACCCGTGTCCAGCCCCAGTTGGAATCATCACTTAGATTTGCACGCAGGCTCCCAGCTCCCCACTACATCCTCACCATGTCCCTCTGGAGTATTCAGGGATGGCCAGACGCTGGCTGCAGTCTCTGTCAAATAAAGCATTAGGCACACGTGCCTGGCAGAGGAGGAAGTCTGAGTTCCACACCAAAGAACCCAGAAATGCTAAGCCTCCCTTGTAAAACTCAAGGTGCCATCACTCAAACAGGTGGGTGTGACAAGGAAACTTCCTTTAAAATAGGCTTATCTTATTATCGTGAGGCTGTTTGGTGTGTGCTCACTCTTGTGTGTATGTGCACTCTTGTGTGTATGTGCACTTGTGTGTGCACTTTTGTGAGTGTGTGCACTTTTGTGTGTGCATTTGTGTGTGTGTGTGTGTGTGTGTGTGTGTGTGTGTGTACATGTAAGACTGCATGGGAGCACACATTCACAGGAGAAGCACTTTTACCTGCTGAACCATTCGCTGGCCCCACAAGACAGCTGTCTAAGGAATAATGTGCTCAGGGGCCTGGGCACAAGTCAAAACACCTCAGACCATTTTGAGTTTTTCTCCCAGTTCTCAAACCATGTGCCACATAAACAGCCAAGTAAGAGCCAGGGCAACATTGGAGCTCATAGAATTATGATGTCAAACAAAAGAGGGCAAGGATGGCTTCTGGGACAGTCGAATCAAGACAGTGACCTCTGTCCTGGATGAGCACTGCTTCAGGAACACAACAAGCTTCTCAGAGAGGCTCAACATCAGCCATGGAACACTTCCAGCCCATGGTCACACTAGGTTTCTGTTATTTGGGGGCCCTAGACAACTGTGAAAACTACCAAGTGCCTGTGCGTTTCTTAGGAGCCCGGAGGCCATAGCACAAGCCTGCCACAAAGTCGTGCCTGGGGTGCAGGTCTAGCTCCAATGATGTTTTCTGTTCTCTGTGGAGCTTTTTTTTTGGGGGGGGGTGTCTTCCCACTCTGGTTCAAATATGGTAGAAATGGCCAAGTTGCATATTTTTTTAAAGACAAGGTTCCCTTTGTAGCCCAGGCTAGCCCTGAATTCACAATCCTGCCTTAAGTGTCTGAGTGCTGAGATTTAGGTGTGAGTCAGCACACCAGGCCTGAGCTGCACTCTTAGAACTCTACCCAATCACTGAAATCTAGACAATGCTTAGACATTCTCACACATGGGAGAGCCTTTAATTACAGGTAATCTTCCCGAGACTGCATTAGAAGGACTTCTGGAAGAATAGAATTCTTAGAAACCCTTATGCAAATTCATGGCCCAGCAGGCAGCCTCCCAAACTGGCTGCTAAGGATGGAAAGTGAGCAGAGAAGTGACCTGGCTACTGGAATTGCTGCCTGCCCAGGGGGCCCCAAGGAGAGCTTGGTGGTTAAGGTTCTCCATGAAGTTCAAGCATTCCTCACTTCAGAAAGGTCTGGCAGTCAGAGGCCTCAGCACTGGAGAAGGCCAAGAGGGAAGACTTGTCTACACAGGTGTTACTGTTCAAAGGCAGCTCAGGAATGCTCAGCTGAAACTCTCCAACAAGTACTCAAAGACAGCCACTCAGCTCTAAGCAAGTGTACCGTGTGCTAATGAACACAATGGCAAGTGGGACACATGGACACACACACACACACACACACCACACACACACACACACACACACACACACACACACACACACACACACACGAGGACTGTAGGACACACAGGCCAGGCTGCTGCATCCCTGGTGGACAGGGAGCTGAGGAAGGAAGACGCAGGATCAAGGGTTGTTTCCTTAAGCTCAGAACTCAACACCAAGTCCAATGTGCCTTCAACCAGTTCCTTTAATGAAAACAGATGTCTGTCCCTGAGTCAGAGGACACAGACACAGCACTGAGGTCTGCAGTGTCTGATGAGAACAAGCCCCAGCACCCATTCAGCTCTCACTGCACATCTCCCCGGCTACCCACAGCTCTTCCTCTGTAGCAGGGCACTGTCTGCAGCTTCTCTTTACTATCCTGGAACTTAAGTCAACAATTACTGTGGATGCCCACAGGCTACTTGGCAGTTCATCACATATCCACTCACCACAGCATAAAGAACCAAGTGTCATTCAAATGTAGAGGTCACAGAAGGCCCTGATCCAGCTTGGCCTACCTGCCTTCTGCTCAGGCACCAGCTTCAACTCCTGTACTAGTAGCCACAGGGGTCAAGCAAAAGCTGGGATTGGGGCAGATTCACTGTGCTCCCCACTACAGGGGCCTTTGCAGTTCGCTACGGAAGAAGTCACAGTAGTAGGGGGTCTCTGTTGCTCACTCATGGGTTGAACCATGAGCTTCTTCCAACCCCCAGTCTGGTTCCAGTCTCTCTTTCACCTCTCCTCCTTTCAGCCCTATTATGTCTCTTGATAGCACCAAACACCCCTGTTCATTGTAAGAGAGTGAAATTCTGATCTTCCTCAAATCACTTTATCCTTGACACACAGACTTGGTTTCTTTCTGTAGTAGTAATACTCCGGGGCTACCCTGCTGCTCTTTTCAGGGGTCCCTGATGGGCTCTAGGCTAGCACCAGGACAGAGGCTGCTTACCAGACTCAACCATGATTTCTTGCTAAAGCTATAGTGCTGTCTGTTGAGGACAGCACTTTCCAAAATTGAACTAACTAGACAACGGAGACACGTTATCACATAACACACTGTCTAACCTCACATTGTTCCCAACTTCTGAGTTGTCAGTCACAGACACCAAGCCTACCTTTAACACCATGTGATTACACCTGTCTTTTATTAACTTGCATCCAATTTTGTAGTAGAGTTGTTTGGCTCTTCATTTTATATCTAATCTACACCCAAACCTCGGCCCCTGAAATAAATCCATAAATTGGACCCTAATCTTCAGGTGGCTTTACTCCAATTTCCTGCCATCATCCCTTCAACTCTAGGATCACTCCTCTAACATTCAAGTTAAATGACGCAGAGGGTACGATAACTTCACTGTCTTGCGTTTTGAAAAACAGGCATTGGCTCCCTGCCATTCAAAGGATACATTTCTATTTCCCAGCCTGCCATTTACTTGTCTGAGAAGCTTATTTTTCACTACTAAACTGTCTCTCTGCAGTCTGCCTAGGCAGATCTTATTACCTCTTTAATCTAAAATCCCTACTAGCATTATTTCCTAAAGCTAGAACGCCTTTCATATGCCTCTCCATTTTTCATGACATTCTAAAAATATGACTTTCACGCACATCAAGTAGTCACGATCTTTGGGCAGAGTACGTGTTCCCAATGAAAATACTTGCTACAAGGTGTTTTAAAAATTTCTTTTCTTTAACTTCAGCAACTTATTTAGCTCTCCTGGAATGCTGATGTGCAATGGCGTCACTGCAGACTCCCTGCCTGGAGCCCTTCCTGGGCTGATGAGGTGTAGTCACCCCACAACTCAGCCGGTCTTCAAATAAACAAAAGGCCATAAAACACCCCTGCTCTCAAGGTTACATGTGCCGATGACACACCAAAATGGACATGAAGAGACTGAATGAATGCAGATGACCTTCACAGTTCCTCTAACAGGGACACCAAAGGTCTTGGGAAGGTGTAGGACAGTGCAAAGAGCGTTTGGGGCTCAGAGGGAACATCTACCTAGGGCAGAGGCTTTCAGGTCTACATGCTGTTGCTTGTGCATGGTGATGCATGCTTGTAATCTCAGCATTTGGGAGACTAAGGTAGGAAGATGTTCAGTTGTAACAGAAGTCGTAAGAGTACCCACAAATTCCGTGATGTTGTATATACTCTACAGTGATAGATCGCTCACAATTTTCCGACCTCATCATCTGAGTCTAGCCATGCATAAAGACTAACCAGTCACATTGTAGCTGCCACCCACTCACAGCAGTAGGTGCACAAAAGGTTGTTCTCTAGGGTCATGTTTGTTTGGCCCATACAAATTCTTCATTTTCTTCACTTTGGTCATATATTCTTGCCCATAATTTGTAAGGACTTATAACCCTTTCACAACATAAGCAATAAAATCAACAGCAATAACAAAACTAGCTGTTTTGGCTAAGTGTTGCCTGCTCTCGTGTCCTCTCCATTTGCTCATGTGTGAACCTTTTAGCTGCACTGTGAGCTTCTGCAACCATCTCTGCTCAGGGGACAAGGCCATGAATAGGACTGCTGGGATCCAAGGCCAGCCAATAGGATCCCAGCTGTCTTGTCTTCTACTAACACTGGTAGGCAAAAGGAGTAAGACTGCATCACTGCCTCTGAGAAACTCAACGGGAGAGCTGGTAGCCGCTCTGGGGATAATTACAAGGCTCTTCACAAAAGCAACTATGAGCAGCCAGGGCCAGAGAAGGTGATTTGAAGATGGAAGGAGAGAGGACAGTGACAGGGCCTTCAAGATGGCAGCCAAGGCAGTCACCAGAAGCTGCAATAGGCAAGGAAACAGGTTTCCTCTCTAGGAGGAAGCAGCTTGGGCAACACCTGAGTTTAGAGTTAGGGAAAGCTGATTTGGGACCTCTGATCTCTAGGACTAGAGGAGAAAACACCTGTGTTCTTCAAGGTGCTGCAGTGATTGGTCACGGCAGCTGGAGGAAATGAACACGTGATAAAGGGAGTTGTTCCTGCAAGTTAGGAGGTGACTGGTTGAGGATGGCATACAGAGCAAGCTCATACAGAGCAAGCAAGCTGGAGCCAAGGCAGAGAACTAGGAACACAGTAGCAGCAGCCCTGCCTGAGGTGCGTTAGCCAGGGTTGGTAGGTATAGTGTTAGGAGGCCACAGAGAAGGCTTTGGGCAGGGAGGAGACCCCTGGGTAAGAGAGCACTCCACGGAGATGTCTTTCAGTCCTCTGTACTACCGTTGAATGGCACAAACCACTCCCGCTTTTTAAACTGAGCCATGTCAAGCATGATGCTGATAAAATCAAATACTTACGGGTTTCATGAACTAACTTCA